CGTGCGATGCACGAGGTGCACAAAATTAAGGTCATTTATCAAGTCTTATAATTATATAAATGAATAAAGAAAAATGTACGGGATATATATAGTGCGTGACCTGTAATAGACCAAAATGTGAACACGGATGATGCACGGAGTGCACAATTTTAAGGTCATTTATTAGTACAGAGTCCGTGCGATGCACGGGGTGCACAATTTTTAAGTATGTGTAATACAAATACATATCGTATGCACTGGACAGAAGCACTAAATGAGTTAGTTGCACAGAGTTTGCCTATCAAGTAGCTCCTGAACATGAGTGCACAATTTGTAGTACGTACTATAAAATCAGAAAAAATTTCCATACAATTAGATAATAAATTAAATAATAAGAAGGAATTAGATAAGGAAAAAAAAGAAATTAGATAAAGAATTTTGAATCTACCTTTTTTTTAGTATAGATAGACTTTACGTATAAATTTTGACTTTACCGATTTTATGAGATTTGTTTTGACAAAATCAAAGACGAACACTGAAGACTGTTTCTATTAACATTTACATTGTGTATTTAATTTTTTTTTAGCCAAAATATTCTTTTTAAGTGTGATATATAAATATTAAAAATACTTAAAATGTTTTATAACATCTATAAAAGCATCTAAAATATTCTATATTATTCACAAATAATGTTTGAAGCTACCTAAATTTTTCTAAACTATCCGTAAGGAAAATATGTATAAAAATTCTTCATTTAACCTCCATATATGTATATATATAAAAAGAGCAAATGTGTAAAAAAAATTATACAAATAATATTTAAAGTATCTAAAATAATAGCAATTAGACAAGTAAAATTTAGATTTCTAAAAAATCTATATAGATAGTGGATTTATAGTAGTAATTAGACTTTTATTTATTTACCTTTAAAGTTGTTACGATAGAGGGATGTGATTTTAGTCGTGGAGATGGAATTTTATAACCTGAGTTATGAAATTTTTCTTAAACTCGTCCATATCTATGCGATGAGTTTTTTAAGCTGTGTATATAGATTTATAATTGTAAAAAAAAAAAAAAACTTTTATAAATCATTTGATTTGGTATTTTCGGAGAGCTTCATTAATTTAAAAGTGTAAAATAGATAAATAAATAAAGTACAACTGAAAAAGTTAAAATCAATTGTATGGAGAATTAAACTAAATCCAATTTTGTAGAATGCATTAAATATTGATTAAATTTTATATATAAAATAAAATAAAAAATAACTGCAATAGTTTTACGTATTACAATATTTTATATTTAAAAAAATTAAAAATCTTCTTTTACGCATTGCATACCAATATTTTAGGAAATACATGGATATTCCTAAATTAATATTGCATACTCAATATTTTAGGAACTAATTAAATGCTAATTTGATTTGCATACCAAAAATATTAGATACATTAATTAAATGCTTGATAAAAATAGCAAATCATTAATTATGGTTGACTATTCTACATACTACATTTAGTAAATAGTATAGCTTTTAATATAAGTATAGATTTTATATCTACTATATAATCTCTCTCATAAAATTAGTGTGATGGAATATTTAATGTTTTGTATTATTCATACATATTTTTGTAGATATACACCAATTCATTTGTCCAACTGTTGTATAAATTATCATATTATAAATAGATCAATCTTAGACTTCTATTTAAGTTCCAGCGGCACCAGTTCCTTCTGATTTTGAGGTTCCATATAACAGTCATGGTCAGTATTTTTGTATAAAAAATATAGAAATATCAGTGAATATTATATAGCTAATCAAGTATAATCGATATTAAACTAACAACTCATTGTCTGAGTGCATAAGTAAATTATCATATTATAAAAAGATCCATCTTAGGAATTCATTTAAGTTCTAGAGCACCAGTTACTTCTAATCTTAGAGTTTCATTTAAGATCAGGGTCAGTCTTTATGTGCGTTGGCATATTATTAAAAAATTGTTTCTTAGCAACAACCGATTATATATTGTTGTTTTTATGTGTAAGTAATAATAAGAGATGTGCATTGACATGTTCTTAAAAAAATATTTTTTTGATCACGACCAATTGTATGTTGTTACGCGTGTAAGTAATAGGTCAAGAAAAGTCAAGGTCAACATTTATTGTACGTTGACATGTTAAGTAATAGATCAAGAAGAGTTAAAGTCAATATTTATTGTATGTTGGCATGTTCTTAAACAAATCGATTTTTAGTCACGAACAATTATGTTGTTTGTTTCGCGTGTAAATAATAGAAAAGTGTTGAAAATATTAGTTTGTGGGGACGACGAGTTGCTCAGTTATTGAACAAATAATGTTGTGTACAAGAAAGTTAAAATAAAATATTTTTTTGGATGAGGAACATTTTATGGTTTGATAATTTTTCTACTAATTATCACTCTTTTATTTATTAATCCATTTTAGTTTTTAATATTCTCCAAAGTAAATACAGCCCGTGCATCACATGACTTACATACTAGTTTTAATAAACTAAAAGCCAACATATAATGTGCATATGTACAAATATGAATTATTAAATAATATGTGTGTGTGATATTAAACTACACCTAAAATAATGGATATATAAGAGAATTTGATCGTTTGTAAATGAACAATATAAATATAAATTATTTAACTACCCGTGTAATTTTGATGGATTATTATCAACCACTTAGTTAGAAAAATATTGAAATAATAATAATAATAATAATAATAATAATAATATTATTATTATTATTACAGATATTGGTTAAAGGTGTTTAGCTATTCCATTAAAACTAACTAGTTAATTTAAAAAAGAAATGATTAACAAAAACAAATAAATAATATTAATTTTAACATAAATAGCTTAAAAAACTACAATATAATTTTCCGTTTTTGTAACTCATATACATTTTAGGATGAATTTAATTAGTTGCTTTTACTAACAATTAGTTAATAAAATATGATTTAATTTAATTAATATAAAATATAACGGTTTTATCATAATTGACTAAAAAACAGACGGAAAGGTCTGTTCATTTGTATTAATTTGATAGCCTGTTATTATATATACGCGTGTGTGTGTATATATATATATTGTAGAAACTAATTGTTATATTTTAAATTAATTAAGTAAAATACTATTTTTAAAGTGTTTTATCATATTATAATTACTATCGATATTAACTAATTTCAAATTCGCACTAAAAAAATCTATAGCAAATATTTTCTCCTAGTTTATTATTTCAAAACTAATATTTGTTTTTTGTTTTTATCTATATTAAGCGACAATTTAAATTGCTAATTGATTTATACATGTAGTTAACTCCTTAAAACTGCCTAAATGCATTTTATAATAATAATAATAATGATAATAATAATAATAATAATAATAATATTTCAACTTATTAATTTGCATAATCTCTCCATTTTGTAAAACTCATAATATCTATTTTATGAGTGATTCATATATAACTAAACTAACTATAATTGTATTATTTAATTTTATTAACGATTGAATTTACAAAATATAATATGCTCATAATCTAACTTATTATTTTAAATATAAAATTCTTCAATATAATTTATAATATTTAATTACTCGTATTAGTTTCATTTAATTTTTAGCTACACATACTAAATAACACACTGCTCCCCTGGCATACATTAAGGTCATGTTTGGTAAAACTAGTTGATAGCTGATAAGTTAACTTACAGTTTATCAGTATTTTTTAGCTTATAGCTTATTACTTATAACTGATAAGCTAGTTTATATGATAAAAGTGTTTGGTAAAATTAGCTGAAAAGCTAACTGGAATAAAAAATTCAACTAGCTTATTTGAAAAACTACCTAAGAAAACTTATCAAATAAGCTCGAGTTTTTTTAAAAAGCTCGTCCTACCAAACGAGACTTATTTGAATACAGAAAACTTATAAGCTAACGAATAAACAATGAGCTAGCTTATTTGTCTACCAAACACAACCTAAATACATAGAGTCGTGGTTTAGTTTACATCATTAAGCTTTTCCCGTAATCCTAACATGAGACGTCATTGTAGACAGGAAATCATTATTGGGGCCTCAACCTTGTCACACCCATAAAACGGCCCAATTAATTTTGGGCCAATACAGAAGGAAAGTAAATCTGATCTTAAAATGTTTTCGAAAAATTTAGACAGCGTCACAGCGGGAGTTTTCACTCAGTTCTCAAATTCAAAACCGTTCCCAAATTCAAATTTATTATCATTTTTACATTTATTTATCTGAATATAAAATTCTTTGGATCTCTTGCTATCATCTTCTTTGGTGGCGATTTTAGTCCCCCGTCGTTGGCCGGTAATTTCTTCATTCATTTCCCTTAGTTGCAAACGATTTAGGGTTTAATTGTTTCAAATTATACGTGAATCTCCTAGTTATGGTACGATTTAGGGTTTAATTGTTTCAAATTATACGTGAATCTCCTAGTTATGGTGTTTAAATTTCGGAGCTCAATCTCACTGTTTT